TCAGCGGTCCTTAGAAAGGACCAGATTCAAATTCCACATATATCCGCGGAAAATGGTCGCGAAGCAATGTTCGAAAAAGCATTTTAAAGTCATAACAAATATCTTTAATTGTTAGTTAAGTTTACGCTTTCTCTTTAGAATGATTTTTAACCATTACGCTGTAATTTTTTTTATTGATTTGAAGTGAATAGTACATTTTCTAGTCTTTTCTCTAAAATTTCTAAAAATTGTTTCGCCAGCATTAACATTACTTGAAGTGTACCACAGGGAGGTTACACAGTCAACATGCGATAAAAAAATATAAAAAAATTTTTTTTCATAAAGAAATTAAAGTCATCTTAAATTTTTTAAATAGTATCATACAATTTTTCGCATAATATTGTAGAAATCTTCAAGATGAATTCGAATCACTGTCGAAAGATCACTTTTATTGATGTTTTATTGATTTTATTTTCATATTTTATTAAATAAATATATGTGTATATGTATTGTAAAAAATTTAGAGAAAATAGGCAACAGAGGAAGTTATCATAACAGAGGAGTTATCAGCATCAGGACTGTGTGGCTCAGTGATAGGATGGAAGTCCACCATTTCGGAAAAGACCGGATTTTGGTTCGAATCTCGGAGCGCCCTGATATTTTTCTCGTGTTGTCACTTATTTCTTATAGTATATACACTGCTCAAAAAAATTATGGCATAGAAAAATTTTGGACAAAAATTGATCAACTTTAATTGACGAACTGTTGGCGATCTTGCTGCGTGCAGGATGAATTTGTGGTGGCACGACCATGCGATCACTGTTCCAAGCGTTCCCGGTATGATTGTTTCGAGAACACTTGGTCGAGAAAAATGAGATTTTCCATGCTTTGAGACTTTCCAAACTTTATTTAAACAGATCTCAAATGCGGGCGAACGTGTTTCATAGTGGATGCGGAAAAGATCTCAACGGTGCGGTAGCGCGATAAAAAAACTATTCAGCGCGAGGCGAAACACGTGCTGTCGACGAGACAATCAGAGTGGCCATTATGATCTGAGTGTATCAGATCGATTATGCGCAACGCATGCGTCGTTTAACAATCGACATCTCGGGGATTGATCGATTCTTTATCTGCCGATGTGATTAGATCCCATAAACGATAAGAGTATCGAACACGCCGCCCGCCTTGAAAGGGTTAACTTTCAATGTGACATACAAGCATGGACTCTTTAATGTAACATAAAATATGAATTGTTCCGATATGACTCAACATCGCACTGAAAATCAACAAAACTTGACATCTAAATACTCAAACTGAAAAACAATATAATAAATTATTCTTATTAACGATAAAGAGAAGCTTGGGCGAAGCCTGATATACTTAGATAGTAACAGTTGAAGGCACTTAAACCTAAATGCTTAATAACGTATAGACTAAATTTTGATTGGTAATATTGATAGCTTAGACACGTGGTCTCACGTAGGAACCCTTGGCAGTCTTCACAGTTACGGTGCGCGCGATGCCGTCGGGATCGGGATGAACCTCCTCACCTCGGGATGGACCCGCCCCATTGCCCACTGAAGTGGGGCTAAGTTCGACTGCTTTATGAGCACAAGTTGATTAGTTGACAGCTGAATTTCCTTGTTAGCCATCCATTTGGTTCATACTTGTAGAGAGTGGAGATACTCATTACTCCACCTACACCAAAAATGCTGCTGGGTTTGCTCTACGCGTTGCCACCGCAGCAGCCTATTTTCGTTGACGTCGCTCAAGTCAACGCAAGGAAGACCATTCAAAGTCGTGCCAACCAAGAAATGTCCCGGACTTAGGTCGTTAGGGTTGGCGCTTAACGGTAAGAAGGGACGCGAATTGAGGATCGCTTCTATTTCACAGAGGGTCGTTTGCATTTCCTCAAAAGTCAAATAAGCTTTACCCACGATCCGAGTCATATGGTATTTGGCAAATTTTACGGCTGCCTCCCACAAACCTCCAAAATGGAGTGCATTAGTTGGGATGAAATCTCCAACTCGCGCAGAAAATCCTTAATCTCAGATTGAACTTGTTGATCATTATATATATCATATAATTCTTGAATTTGCTTATGAGCGCCCACGAAGGTGGTCTCGTTATCCGAATACATGTGCGTGGGTCTATCCCTACGAGAAATGAATCGCTTAAAGGCGGCAATAAATGCTTCAGACGTAGATCACTTATTAACTCTAGGTGGACTGCCTTCGTGGTGAAGCACACAAAAAGCGAAACTTACGACTTGTGATTCCGCGCGTTTCGACGCTTTCCCTCACATAACAAGAGCGACCCGGCATAGTCTACACCGCAGCGAGAGAAAGGTGTAGATATGCTATCTCGACTGGCTGATAATGAGTCCATTAAGGCTTCTGATTGATTAGGTTTAGCCTAAAACAGGTAATACATTTTTGTATTATTCCACGCACGATGGAGCGCAATGATAGCGGCCAAAAGCGCTGGCGCACGAAAGCCATCGTGGCTTGCAGACCCGCGTGCAAGTTTGGTATGTGTTCGCGCTCTATAATACGCTGAGTTAATATGTGTGTGCGTGGCAGGAGAATTGGATGGCACGCATTGAACGCGAGATTAGAATTTTTCAACCTCCCGCCAACTCGCATTAGTCTGCTTTCATCTAAGAAAGGAGATAGCGATAAGATATTACTAGAAGCGTTTACAATTTCGTTTTTGACTAGCGCTTAATACTCGCGATAAAACGCTCGCTGTTGCATCGTTCTGCAAATACAATTTAAAGTGATAGATGTTTTAACGGGGATGTTTTAACACGAAATCAGATACCGCGTGCTCCCGATGCGCGTTGCAAACAATACGCTATGATACGACATATTTTATTTAAATTGGAATTATTTAGCAAGTCGTCGACGACGCAAGGATGGGAAATGGAAACGGCTACGCGGATTTTCCTTTGTTCGGGAAGATCGTTGTCCAAATGCATAAAGACACTGGGCAGCCGATGTTTTCATCCCATTTTAGAAATTCGGGGCTATTCCACCACCTCTTAGCATTGATCACGTCGCACGGATTTAGCCCTTGCAACAATACATCGGCAGGGTTGTCTGAGGATGCGACATGACGCCAGTGTTTAATTTCTATTAAGCGCTGAATTTCGCTCACTCTATTTGCCACAAAAACCGACCACCGCCGCGAAGGGGAGGTTATTCAGTTTAACGCGATCGTCGAGTCCAAAGATAAGTCGGGCATTCGAGAGTTCCAATGACTCTCTGACCTTGTTGATTAAGCACGCCAACAGCAAGGCGGCTGATAGCTCTAATCGCGGTAACGAGATGGTCTTGAGCGGCGCGACGCGAGATCTTGAGCACAATAACTTAAAGTGATGGTCGTTGAGACCGAGCTTGGTGCGAAGGTATATGCAAGCTCCGAACGCGCGCTGGCTGGCGTCACAAAATCCGTGCACTTCTACGATTGATTGATGGGCATTGATTTTAACGCTTAAAGAATTTTTAGTTGATTCAAATCACCCATCTGTGAACTGAAAGCGATCCAGCGAGTGGATGTCATAGCCAATTGCCACAAATCTCAGGATGAATTTTGCGATCACAATGACCGGACCCAGAAAATCGAATAATTTAGCGACATCGGAAAGTATGATTCGTTTTGACACACACAACGTGGGCTTCTGTTTCAAGTTACAGAGAAACTGGAATGTATCCTGATACTGATTCCACTGCATGCCCAGAATCCACGAATCTGCAGCATTATCTCTGATAATGACTGGCACACTGTTACGATTGTCTATTTCCAATAATTCAGGGCAGTTCGAGACCCATTTGGTTAACTCGAATGCTCCTAATTTTAACAGTTGAATAGTTTCGTCACGAATTAGTTTTAATTCGTCGACTGTATTCGCCCCGGTGAGCATATCATCGACATAAAAATCTCGAAGAACGTATGTTGAACCCCGAGTGAACTGATGAGCGTGTTGCTCAGCCAAATGCTTAAGACATCTGGTGACCAGAAATGACGCAGAAGCTGTATCGTAAGTGACGGTAGTGAGTTCGTACGACATTAGCAGATAGATCGTCGCGCCAGAGAATTCTTTGCAGGCACGTCTGGGATGCACTAAAATCTGCCGATACATTTTTATGATGTCAGCGGTGATGACATAAGCAAAAAAACGGAAACGCATCAAAATTGAGATCAAATCTTGTTGAACGGTCGATCCCACTAGAAGCGCGTCGTTTAACGATACGCCGGAACTGCTGCGGCAAGATGCACCGAATACGACACGGATTTTCGATGTTTGCTCGATCGTTTTGAAGACGCAATGGTGGGGGAGATAAAATAATATTGGTTCTTCTGCAATGGATGGCTCTAGTCGTCGCATATTCCAGCGATAAATATTCGTCAAGAAACGCTGCGTATTGAATTTTAAGCGTAGGATCGCGAATTGAAGTGCTTCTTGATGCCTCGCAATCGCTTGAGAGCTGCTTCACGCGAATCGCCAATGTTATTTAACATTTGCTCTCTGATCGGAAGCTTGACCGTACATCTATCCTGAGAATTTTGAGACACGTTGTCTAAAAAGTGACGCTCGCAAATATTTTCCTCCATTGTGTAATTATCCGAATGCGCAGATATGTCGTCCATTTGCCAGGCATGACTGGCATTTCGTGTAATTCTGTATTGGTTACGGACGCATGAAACGAGTGAACCCTTGAGGCGGTCGATATGGTGCTGCCCAAACGATCCGCCAAAAGTCCCACGATCCCAGTCGTGTTTTTTGGAGAGTTGGGTGCTTGTCGGAAGACCTGACTTGACCAACGCATATTCCAAAGAATTCCGCTCAGCAGATCGATATCCGACGATATGTGAAATCGCAGGTCAGCCAAACTAATGTTGCGCGGAAAATCAAATTTGTCCCGCCTCGAAGAGACTGCCGGAATCTTATCAGTAACCTGATCAGTCACGATACATTCGATAGCCGCGGTGAGTTGAGTCGCAATTGTAATTGGATTCTAGCCATGACTGGTCGAGGTCACCATGCCTGAAATCGAGACATTTAATGGGCGCGTTTCTAAACCGAGCGCTTCCACAAATTTCTTAGATACAAAGTTCGCTTGCGATCCGCAATCCAATAAAGCTCGGCACGCCCTGCGCGAGCCATCGCTGTCGTAGACGAGCACAACCGCAGTCGAGAGCATAATTTGTTCGCTATTAAATGATCCTGAAGCATGAGTCCTTACGACGGAGGGGGGAGGAATTTCTTTAGATGCAACTTTCTTATCGGTATTGTTAGTCGATGGGTCCGCAGCTGAGGGCATATGAAGCAGCGTATTGTGCTTTGTTTGGCAGACCTTGCATTGACCAGAGGTGCATTTACTTGATTCATGAGAAGAGGAGCGCAAGCAATTAACGCAGAGTTTGCGACTGTGAATTTCTGCAGCCCTTTGCGATACCGGAAGTGCCACGAAGTTTTTGCAATAATAAATGACGTGATCGCCTTGACAGAAGTGGCATTTGGGTTTAACGATAGCCGCACACGACGATGACCGCTTAACATTTGGCTGTAATTTTGCTTCGACCTGCTTTGCGGAAGTAGTGCTGGCTCTTGTGGTAGCCTCGAGCATCTGACATCGATGAGCGATAAAATCTAACAGTTGTTTAAGCGACGGCAGCTTGTTGCCCGTTAAGGAAGTTTCCCACTTGCGTAATGTGAGTGAGTCAAATTTAGAAGTTAGAATGAGGACAAGAATATCGTCCCAATGCGTCGTGGGACGCTTCAATGCCTGAAGGGCGTGCAAATGTTTTGCGGCGCCGTCAGAGATTCTTCTGAGATCGATTGAATTTTCCTTTGCCATAGCCGGCAAATCTTGGGAGTACAAATTAGTTCGGTCCGTTTTTGTTGTATTTAAAAATGCATTTATTTCAAAATAAAATGAATGAACAGATTAATTAAAGTCCATCGCTGGCTACTACTTTTTCCCATCTCTCAGGCAATTTTCGAATTCCATATTGAAAAAAATGATTCGTCTTTGGAGGCGATCCAATTTTGGAGCCAATTTTCGATTTCTGCGAAAGAAGTGAACCGGTGATTTACCAAATCATGCTGTATCCTTCGGAACAACCAGTAAACAGCAAGGAGCAATATCCGAAGAATACAGCGGGTGCGGTAAAACATCCTATTTGAGCGTTTCCAAATATTTTTTTACGACTTTTGCGACATAAGGCCGAGCGTTGTCATGAAGAAAAATAACTTTATCATGTCTTTGCTCGTATTCCGGCCGTTTTTCTCGCAATGCACGGCTCAAACGAATCAATTGTAGCCAATCGCCTGTAATGGAATCGCCAGGTTTCAGCAGTTCATAGTAAACAACACCCTTTGATCCCACCAGATACAGAGCATGATCTTCGAACCATGAATATTCGGCTTTGATGTTGAGGTTGATGGCAACGATTGACCGGGCTTAGCGTAGTATTTTTTCTTTTTGGGGTTGTCGTAAAATACCACTTCTCATCTCCTGTCACAATCCGATGCAAAAAACCTTTTCTTTGTTGACTTTGAATCAGATGTTCGCAAGTGAAAAATCGCCTTTCAATGTCTCTCGGTTTCAGTTCATAAGGCACCCAATTTCCTTGTTTTTGAATTATTCCCATGGCTCTCAATCGTGCAGAAATGGCTTGTTGAGTTACTCCCAATGATTCTGCAAGCTCCTCTTGCGTTTGACTCTGATCTTCTTCGCGTAATGCCTCTAATTCTTTGTCTTCGAATTTTTTTGGCTGTCCAGAGCGAGGCTTGTCTTCAACGCTGAAATCCCCATCCTTGAAACGTCTAAACCATTCCCTACATGATTTATCAGTTGGAGCAGTGTCACCATAAACTTCGACAAGCATTCGATGGGCTTCAGCTGCACTTTTCTTCCAATTAACGCAGAAAATTAGAACCTCCCACAAATGCTGCTTGGTTAACACAAAATTCGACATTTCAAACACAGTAAAAATCAATGTTTTTGTATGAAACTCAAAACGATATAAACTGAATATTATTAGCAGATGTCTAACCTCTCTGAAACCGCCAAAATCAGCTGTCCCTATGAACCATTCACACCAGCCGGAGCCATCTTTTGGAAAACGGACCGAACTAATTTGTATTCCCAATTTATTATAGCCTTGACATGAGTTTGAACAATCACGCATTTGTTATCATATCCCTGAGAATTGACCACGCGACGTCGTAATTAGCGTCCGACAATTCTAATGACCTGATTAAAGAGTTTGCATCGCCGGGTAGTGACGCCCGTAGATATTGAAATCTTTGTGTATTTGAGAACGAGGTGTTGGAATGGATAACCGAGTTGAATGTATCGAAAAATAGGAACTATTCATCATATTTGCCAAAAAATATTGGTAAATTTAATTTAGGCAACCGAATATGCATACCACGATCTGAATCACGAATACTTGAAGAGGACGGAGAAAAGATGGACGTTCGCAATGTCGGCGAAGGGGAAATGAGCTTGCGGATCTTGATGGATAACGCATAAAACGCTTCCTCGAAACCATCTCGATCGCAGCCTTCGTACTCATAATAATTCTAGACGCGATTATACTCGTTATATTCCGCCCAATAGTGCTCGAGTTTCGCCTTCTGCTCTTCGAGATGAGCCACTATTGACGGATTAATAGCGACTATTGACTCTACATAAGTTCTGATACGCGTACATGATGCCTTTATGGTCGTGCGCTGTCGCTTAAGTGTCGTCGCTTCTGATTAGTCGATCATCTTGAATGCAACTACGAACGCGCGTATGCAACGAACATGGCGAAGGGAACTTGGTCGGCAACGGAGACAATAATCTTCCTCACTTTGTTACGCAATTAATGCTAAAAAGAGATGTGATAGATGCTGGATGCCTTCCAGTCGAGCGTTGTTGGACGGAAACGTTCCTCTCGCAGATGCTATGCCGTTGAGGGATGACTTCTGTTACACGTCATCCGGAACAGGCCTTGTTTTCCACCGACAGGATTCCGCTCGCAAAACATTGATACTGCATCAGGATATGACGTAATATGAGCCGGGCTGAATCTCTGATGCTTAGATGCGGGCCTTACGGCTGTTTTTGCTGCGTGCTGCCGCTGATGCGACGCTTGCATTGATTACTGCTACCGCGCCGTTTGTCTCGTCTCGATGATATAACCTTGTCTGACTGCCAAATTGCTGCTCGCCACTACACTGAGGCCAAATACTTGACAGTATCCGGTTCGAAGGACCAAAGAAATGTTGGTGATCTTGCTGCGTGCAGGATGAATTTGTGATGGCACGGCCATGCGATCACCGTTCCAAGCGTTCTCGCGGTATGATTGCTTCGAGGGCATTTGGTCGAGAAAAATGAGATTTTCCCTGCTTTCCAAACTTTATTTAAACAAACCTCAAATGCGGGCGAACGTGTTTCACAATAGATGCGGAAAGGATCTCAACGGTGCGGTAGCGCGATAAAAAACTATTCAGCGCGAGGCGAGACACGTGCTGTCGACGAGATAATCAGAGCCATTATGAGCTGAGTGTACCGAATCGATTACGCGTGACGCATGCGTCGCTTAACAATCGACATCTCGGGGATTGATCGATTCTTTATCGGGCGATGTGACTAGATGCCATAAACGATAAGGGTACCGAACACGCCGCCCGCCTTGAAAGGGTTAACTTATTTTTACTTTCAATGTGACATACAAGCATGGACTTTTTAACGTAACATAAAATACGAATTGCTCCGATATGACTCAACATCGCATCTAGTCATTGCACTGAAAATCAACAAAACTTGATATCTAAATACGCAAACTGAAAAACAATATAATAAATTATTCTTATTAACGATAAAGAGAAGCTTGGGCGAAACCCAATAACTTTGCAAAAATTATTGTAGAATAACGTTGTTTTTTAAATTAAATCTTGAGATCTCTACTTTAAGATGCTGTGGCCAGATTTCAAATTTAATGCATCCCTATTACTGTAACTCTCAATATGAGGGTGTGTTTGTCATATTGAAAATTGTAAAGTTTGACCGAATATACGGAATATGCTTTGTAAAACTTTTTTTCGGAATGCCGTTTACAGTGACATAAAATTCGAACTTTTCTTTTTAATTAATAAAAAAAAAGAGTTGCTGCGATTTTTTCGCAAAGTTACAGCTCTTTAAAACAGCCCTCACATTTTTGACGTATATTACCAATTGACATTACCTGCATTACCGGATATGCATCATGGCGAGGTTGTTGAATGGATTTTGCACATTGTGTTTCTGCGTTAGTGTAAATTTTAGTAACGCGTTGTCTTCGCGTTGCTCGATTACTGCTTGCAGTCAACTTCTCATATTAATTACTTCCTGCGGAATGTCATTCCAGATTTGTACTAGAGCTTGTAATGAGCCTGTGAGATTGACAAGATTGTCTTGCCAAATCTTTTAATCTACGATTCTAAAGCCCAAAATCCACCAAAAATTTCTTTGTTTATGCAGAACAATGCACGGCTGCATATCGCAGCCATTACTCTCTAGTTTTTAGTAGAAAACTCAATTAGATTGCTTCCGCATTCTGCAATAAGTTCTGTGCTTTTAGTCTTGAAAAGAAACGTATACAAAGATATAGGAAAATATTATAGTATAATATAAAATCGGAAAGATAAAGGGTATATACCACGATGATATTGTTAGCGGTTAATTATATTTGATTACAATATATTATAATCTAATTGCACATAATTAAATACATAAACATTTCGGCCTTACATATATATATATATATATATATTAGGCCATCTTCAATATAATAATTCAATTCAATATAATTACAGAGATATTTACGCACAACAACGATTCGTCTACGTATATTGTTTGACATATCTAATTGTAATGTCAAACCGCTCGTTATTTAACAATTTTTTTTATTATTAATTAACAAGTTATTAATGTTAGTCCGAAAAGATTAAAGTTATCATATCCAATCATCTTTTTATTACAAAAATTCAGGTAGTCCAAATGTCTCTATTTAGTTGTTACTTGAATGCAAAATTTCCAGATTCTAATGATTACAATATTCTTTGATTAATTAAATGTTTTCAAATCGTGTTTTGAATTATAAAATATAAAAACTTAGTACCTATGTTACAGTCAACTGAGTGAAATGATATCGAGAGTAGATGACTTGTTGTAATAAAATACTCATTACAATGATTTGCCAAATTCTTATCATGATATACAGTTATATATACCTATAACATGTATCGAAGGAAAGGGTAAAATGGACTTATGTAGGGGGAGTTATGCTAAGCACAGGAAAGTATATCTCTGATAATTTTTCTGTATCACTCTGCTTGTTCAGATCATCGACTTGTTTTTTGATAAATATCATTTCCGACGTGATTCTTTTATGAAAACATGGTTCTATATCTAACACCTGAACGTTATCCCAATTTATTTTGTGACCGCATTCGATCTGATGCTGTGATAATATGGTCAGAGAATTTTTTGATTTTTTTTTGATATTCGCTTTATGTTCTTTGATTCGTGTTTTTACTTTCCTTTTTGTTTGACTAACATAAGAGGAGTCGCAATCAAGACAGCTTATTTTGTATACACATTGTTCCATTTTTTCTAATTCATCCTCATCTAATTTCATGAAACGATTTAACGTATTCATAGGTTTATAAGCTATTTTAAAATTGTTTTTTTCCGCTATAATCTTAAATTGAGATCTGAGATTGTGTTTATACATGGTATAGTGACAAATTTTTTTATATTATGATGAAATCATCGTTGTTAACAATATTATTTTCATATAAATTCTTTCTATTCGCCAATTT